GTGTAAATGAGGACCAAATTGTATAATAGATAATGTGAAATAGGAAGAAAAGGTTCAAAGGGGAAGGGGAACTAGAGAGGTGGGGGGGGAGAGGAAAGAAGAAAAAAAATAAGAAGGAAAAAGTGGAAACAAAGCTTTTGTAAATAGGAAGGGGTGAAGGGGTGGAAGGGAGGGAAGGGGAATGGGAAAAACAAGAACCAATATATATCATGTACAGGTACAAAATCCCAGTGATGAATGTGATCATAATGTATACCTAAAATGTACCAACAAACTTAATAAATAATAGATTATCTCGGCTCTATCTGAATGTTCTATTTGTTAATATTTTAAATCATGTTATCACTTCAATTTCACTTTAATCAAGTGATTTATCCAACTGTCTAAAACATAACCATTTAGTTATTTTACTATATAACAGGAGTATTTTCCATGGTCTGAAATATTGCTGTATTCACTTGTGAGTTTTGTTTTTCTTTTTTGTTTGTTTTCATTCTCTTTTTTCCTCAGTCATTCCAATTTCATAAGCTTTTTTTTTTCTGTAGGACTCATTCTGGGAAAACATGGTCTTGCTTTTCTCTCGTGTCTTTCTTTTTAAATTGATACATAAAATAAATGCATAAAATGTGTAACCATCAAATCAGGATCATTTGCATTTCTTTGTATCTTTTTACTTTTCCTGTTTTTTAAGCATTTAGGGGAGATCCTATAGTTAAATATCTTTTCAATTTTTTTTACTTATGTGGTAGCATTTCCCCAAATCATTGCAAATAAATCTTTACATTTTTCAGATCTTGTAGGAAATATGCATAGACGCCCTTTACTCAAGTCACTTGGTGACATACTGAGTGAATTATTTTATGCTTGACAGTGTTTCAGAAAAGGAACTCATGCTAAAATGGACATGACAGAAATTGAGATACTGTCTCCTCTTGACTTTGAATTTCATTTAATCTGATCCTTTCTGAAGATTATTCTTTAAATGCATTTTTATTCCTAATTCTGCATGTTGATGTTTAAGTTACTTATAACATGACTCTCAAAATTAATATATTGAAATAGTTTGTCCTCTCCATTCAAATTTAAAGATAATCCATAGCTCCCTTTCATATATTAGTGGCACTTGTCAGATTTTTATATTTATGTCTCCTTTTCTTTGGGAGTGCTTTTAATCGATATTGTGCAGCTATACAAACCCACTGTACATTCTCAGGCACAATGATGTGGGTTTTATTTAGCCATCTTAATATGTGGAAATAGAATTAAAAGTGGTGACAGGTGATTTTAGATTTTCCACAAAGACAATAATCAGAACTTAATTAAATATGCCCTTATATCTGGTCATAAATTTCCAAAAAGGCAAATCCATAAATGACAGAGGCTCACAATATGTTAGAGATAGAAGGGACAGAGACATGGATAACAATAGGTGTTAACCTAGAATGGATCCCCAATCAGAAAATAACATTTTATAAAGGAAATATATGGAGCAATTGTGAGTATAAAATGGAGTGGTAGTAGATAGGAGTGGTTTTTAACTTTCCCAAATTTAGTCACGACATAGTGGCTATGAAAAAACATCCTGTTCTTAGACAATCACCTCAAACGCATAGACAGTGGCAGGAGTTGGTGATACATACACAGCAGTTATACCTAGAGGATGAGTATATTGGTGTTCATCAGAATATTACTGTTACACTTTTATGCATTTAAAAGCATCCTTAAAGGAAAATTTGCTTTCTTCCACAAGTGTGTGTGGACCTTATATGAAGGCACTCAACTTGCCACAAATGGTAATAGCAACAATAATAGTCACACATTATGTGACCTAAGGCTCTTCTCTCAATGAATCAAGGGGTATGGGGTTAACAGCTGTCTCTGTGCTATATGTATCCCTATAGTCTATATATCAGAACAGAAAAACATGAACCAACAGAAAAATTGTAATAAATTTAGTATACTGTTGGCATTAGAACTTCATCAACACCTACCTCAACTTTCTAAGTTTATCACGAAGTTTAAATTGTGCTGTGATCTACATTTTTCTAACCTGCCCCAATCTCCTCTTTCTTCACATATAATTTCCCCCTCCATCATAAAGAAAAAAGAAATATTCAGGTGGGGACTCTGTTAACTCCCTTCCATATAATCAATAAAGATACTTCTCATGTACTCATTTCTTCCTTCCATTTTAACAAAAATAAAACTAAGGTCCTATGCTACAGTGCCACACGCCTGCAATCCCAGTTACTTAGGAGGCTGGAAAAAGAGGATGGCAAGGTCAAAGAAGACCTAGGCAATCTAGAAAGGCTCCGTATCAGAATAAAAGACAAGAGTTGAGGGTGTATCCTAGTGGTAGAGCACTTACCTAGCAAGAGTGAGGAGGCACTGGCTTCAATTCCCAGACTGTAATAGAAAAAAAGTGAGATTCTCATTTCCAACTGTGTACTTCTCCCTCATCTGAATGATACATTTCACCCCTTGTAAGTTGTGCACTTTGGCCTCATATTTATCAGTTCTCTTCTCCCAAACACGTACTCTCCCAGCACATCGAGGGATATACTTACGGTTTTCAAGTGTTACAATTCCTTGATACATTGCTCCCATAATCCTTCTCTTGCCCCTTAGGGAAACTTCTTTTAAAAGAGGCTACTTTCAACCTTCTACACTTTGAGTATTCAGTGTCCTCAGTATCGGCATCCTTCCATGGCAATATTTCATATAATTCCTTGCACCAATTAAAAACAAAACTCCTCTAAGTATTTGTGCCCAAGTTTGCAGTGGTCATTATGTTTCCAACTCATTTGAGTAAAAGCAAGGAACATTATTACTGGACCTACGGTAACTGATTTAACACTATTTCAAATTGCGCATCAAGTAAGAAAACATCTTCAGGACCCTTTTGCTTTTTCATGAAGCTGCCAGACTCCATGAATGGGATCCCTAAAATGTCTGAAAGTAGTAGAGTAAGAATCACAAAGACACGTTATGTTGAAGCAATAGTTAGTACTCTATTGCACCTTGATTTCCATGAGGGGATGCATCATAAGATACAGTTAAAACTATGAGCCAGGCATGATGACACATGCCTGTAATCCCAGGACCCAGGAGGCTGAGACATGAGGAGCGCCAGGAGTTTGAGGCCAGCCTGGGCTACATAGTGAGTTCAAGCCCAGCCTGAATCAGAGTGAGACCCTATCTAAAAGAAAATTAACACAGACTATGTGTTAATGGCAGAAATAAGTGAAGATCACTCAAATGAGAATGAGAAAGTGTTACTTTGCTATGGTAAAGGAATCAATGATCATTTGTGTTTGTCAGGGAACCAAGGAGGCAGAGGAGCAAAGCTTTATAATTAAATTTAAGGAAAATATGGAAATACTCTAATGGCAACTGTTGGAACAGGGTAGCAGGTGGTAGAGTGACAAGTATCACAGCATGTGATATAATTGGTTAGGGGAGCATATGTGTCTTTCTCCAGCCAGCCTGTGGGGAGAAAATGGGAAAGCTGTCATTTATTCATGTTCTGACCTTTGTCTTATAGCTCTCTGGTTTATGTTGCATATGCCATTAGTTGATTTTGTCTCTAACACCTGCCTTCGTTGTGCATGACATACATATGTATACGTACAGGCTGTGCTCAGGTGTGTCAGTGTCATACACTTAGAGTTTTTGAAATATGTGTTGCTCTGAAACTACCAAACACAGAAACACATACCACAAAATACCATATCAGAAACGTTTTTGTTTCCATGCTGAGCTGTGATATGTTAGCAGATTGCACTGTTTGCAAACATTGCTTAAAGTATATAGTGCCTCATCTCTTGCCTTGTGAAGAGATCCAAGTGGGAACACCCAGGCTACATAGGTGTGTTATTACCATACTTGGAGGCAGAACCACACTTCACTCAATCCTCTCATTAAGGCAATGCTTAATCTTGGTTGTTAGCTTGACCAGATTGAGATTCTTCAACAATTGCTAAAGCACATTTCTTTAACAATGTATCTGTGAATCTGTGAGGGTGTTTCAACAGTCAGTTGGCATATGTGTTAGCAAGCTGAGGGGTAAGACCACCTGACGTGGGCAGCACCATTCAATAGTGTAGTAGCCCAAACGGAATAAAAAGTAGAAGAAAAGGGCAACTCCTACATGTGTAAACTCAATTATTCTACAGCAGGTACACTTTTTATTGCTCCCATCACCTGCAGACATTAAACTCCATACTGTTCAACTTTGGTGTGTGGACTCAAATTGCGGACTCTCCAGTGAGCATTCAGGCCTTTGACTTTAGTCTAGGGCTGCATGATTGGTCTCTCTTGTTCTGGGGTTTCAGGCTTCTTGGACTGAATAGCTACTGTTACCCCAACTCTCCAATCTGAATACAGCCATTGTGGGACAAGCCAGACTCTGACCATGTAAGTCAAATCTAATAGAGTCCCTCTTCTATATACATTCTGTTCGTTATGTTTCCCCTAGAAAACCACGATAAAATACCTAGTACACAGTGTATAGAGAGGTAGCACATTAAACATCAGAGAAATGCAAAAAACAAACCCATAGTGTGGCATTCTGATTGACAAAAATCAAATTCAACAAATAAGTCTAATTTTTAGAAGCCTTAGTCAGGGACAGTGGCATATGCCTGTAATTTTTTTTTTTTTTTTTGGTACCGGGGATCGAACTGGGGACCTTGCACTTGTAAGGCAGGCAGCAGAAGCACTGAGCTAAATCCCTGGCCCCAATATGCCTGTAATCTTAACACTCAGGAGGTTGAGGCAGGAGGGTCACTGTGAGTTTGAGGCCAGCCTGGGCTACATAGTAAGTTCAACTACATAGTGAGACCATTTCTCAAAAAATAAATACAAATAAATAAATAAATCCCCATTTGATGTGGGATAATAAGGATTAACCAAACACAACTACTACAAGTCACACACACACTCCCACACATTTTGGGTGCAATTACTCGTCTTAAAGGTCATAGATTTCAGAGACAATTGAGGATATAGCACTGATATTTGTGCTTTGAACATTTTTAATAAAATTATAATGGTTATGAAAATTTTTGATATTGTGAAAACATTTTTTTTGTGAAAACACATTTTGAAGAGATGTGACAATGAATTACAAGATGTGGGGATTACAAATCAAAGAATCCAGTAATGTGTGTGAAGACCACTGAAGCAAGAGCAGCAACAAAATGACTGACAAAATGCAAGATGAGAAGTGTTCATAGCTCCTCCTCATAGTCCTTCCCATTTGTGCATATTTTTGGAAATATCCACTAGAAAAGGTAGAATATTATCCTTGTACCAATTTTATATTAAGAGGAATGGATTTAAAAGGCATGGGGTAACTTCTGGTTTTAAGCACATATATCAAAACAGAAATCATATTTTAGATATGTATACTTTATCATAAGGCAACTAGAGTTTATTAATGCTACCTTTAAATCAAAGCTAATACTCAAAAGTTGTCACTTCCTAATTTACTCTTTTATACATGTATGTCCTTGAAGTTACTTGTGACTACTGTGTCAATATGATGAGAATAAAATATGTGTACTACTATATGTCTCTTCCCAACTCCATGTTCAATGGCATTATTTTGGCAGCCTGAAACTGACTATGGTGGGAATATTTTACCAGTGTAACTGAGAAATACAAAAACCAGGGCTTGCTTGTTAATGGCTAGAATTAAGAAAAAGGTAGAGAATAAGTTAACACAGGCAATGCTTAAAATATACAGTATGATTGTTACACTGTGAACAGATTTTTTAAATTAAGAAAATAATTTTGGGGGCCCGGGATTTAGCTCAGTGGTTCCACCACCTGCCTCGCAAGTGTAAGGTCCCGAGTTCGATACCCAGTACCAAAACCAAAAACAAAATAAAAACAACAACAAAACTTTTGCAGTACTCAAAAAAGAAGAAATTTTTAAAATCCCAAAAAACCTTCCCATTTAGCAAAGAAGACCATAACTGCTATGGAATGAGTGAGGTTCCAATATATATTTTTCTTATGTCTATGTATCAATAAAAAAGAACATGATCAAAATCCATTTAAAAATAGCAAAGGGGGGGTGGGCCAAGGATTTAGCTCAGTGGTTTCACCGCCTGCTGGGCAAGCACAAGGACCCAAGTTCAATCCCCGGTACCAAAAAAAAAAAAAAAAAAATAGCAAAGGGTACTAACAATTTTTTCCAAAGAGGATAAACAGGCAGTAAATAAACATGAAAATATGCTCAAAACCATGAAACATCAGATAATAACAATAAAATTACAGTGATATTTACCTACACAAACAGTTCAAATTAAACTAACCACACCAAGACTATAGAGAATCAGCCAGTCATGGTAGCATATGCCTGTAATCCCAGTACTCAGGAGGATCACTGTGAGCTTGAGGCCAGCCTGGGCTACATAATGAGTTCTAGAGCAGGCTAAACTACACAGGGGGATGAGAGGGAGAAGGAGAGAGAGGAAGCACAGAAACAGGAGTGCTGGTAGAAAGGTATGATCAAAAAGTACGGTGAGTGTTTAAAGTAAAAGACATTGTTATTGTCAGAAAGTGAGGCAAGTATTTTGAGGGGGATTAAGAGCAACGTGCCTTTTACTATAACAATTTAAACATCATATTATTTTTATCAGCCCTTGAATACTGTTCATAGGAATACCATCAATTTAGATAAGTTTGACAGTTACTTAAAAAATGAAACATTCATGTAAGACAAAGTATTAGCATAGGAGAAATAAAACTACATATATTTTGTTAATACTATAAAATAGGAAAAAACAAGCCAACTATCCATGAAGAACTGAATAGTGGCATATTCATAGAATTAAATACTACTCAGTAAAAAACAATGATGAACATAAGGAGTAGCAATGGATTTCAAAATAATCATGTAGTGTGAAAACTACAAGAGTAAACATGTTATGATTTCACACACAAACTACCCTCTTGTGAATGAAAACTACTAAACACTTGCAAACCTGGGAAGGCAGGGAGATATTTCAACAGGGCATGAGGAAAACCACAGATGTTTGTGCTAATTGTCATGATGGGTTCATGAGTTGTCAACTCAAATTACACACCATAGATTATACATGTCATTTGTACATCAATAAGTTTTATTTTAAAATGATTCAAAATGAAAAATCTAAATTCTTTTCTCAAAACCAGAAGGCATGGTAACCCAATGTTGAAAACAGTACCTCTGTTCTCATACATGGGGAAGGGCATCCCTACTTCAGTGTAGGAGAAATACTGGCAAACAATGAGCACTGTTGCAACAGAATAGTGGCTGGGTCTCAAGAGCTATACTTCCCAGGACTACAAGACCACCATGATCTCCATCCTCTTTCCCACTTCTACATCAATGGTTGTGGGGTAAATAACTCAAAAAGACAAGAACCCACACAATTTTTAATTTCTTGACAGTGACCTCAGTGACAGGACATACAATGATCTCTAGGTCATGTGAATACTCACTGGCTGTAACTGGAAGACTTGTGGATGCATTTTTACAAGAGGCACATTCCATCTGGTTTGCTTCAGGTTGATACGAGCAGTATTTCTGTAAGAATTATGGTTTATATCTGGCTGTGGTGATGTAAAAAAAAATGGGCTGGTTGACATCAGGAAATACAGCTTCCTGTACAACACTGTGAGGAGCTGCTTCTCTATGTGCTGAGCATAATTAAGACATCCTTTAGGAACAATAGAGCGAATTCATTCTATTCCAACTTGCCACAACAGCTGGCCTCTCCCAGTATGATTTTTAGTCTCACAGAAAAGTGTAGGTATCTAAGCCACAAATTAGGACAACAGAATCCTTGCATGTTCCCTAAGCTGTCTTGGACAGCAATGCAAACTTGAGCAAAACCAGAATGAAAACTACTTTGTGGTTATTCTGTCCCTATAGGAAGGCACAAAAGTTGACACCCATGAACACTATCCTTTCATATAAACAGAATATAAAGTCTGCTTTCCAGCTTCCCCACATGGTAAACTAAACCCTAACATTAAAGGTAGCCTTCACAGTAAGGCATTTATTTATTAGTGCATAAACCAGAGCAATGTGAGGCATGCAGTAACCAGTTGGTGAATGGAAGGCTGGAAAAATTAACCTTTCATGTGAGACTGATTAAAAAACTTTTCCAAAAAGCTAGGTCATTCCTAGAAGCCACTAGCAGAGGGCAGACTGAATTCTACTGGTAAAAATTGGGTTAGATGTACTTCAATCAGCCAGAAAAGGGAGCAAATTGTTCCTAAAGGACCAGGATGTTCAAGACTTCCTCCAAAAAATAAGCACACATTTGATTTTCCTTAGAATGCTGAGGTGACTTCTGCACTATAGAAGGTCACAGAAGATGGCTTTTTCCAGAGAAACTGAGCGATAAAACTATGGTAATAGCCATAGTCAGTTTACAATGTACATATCAGCCCCTGTAAACCTCTCCCATACTTAGAACTCATAGGGAATCTCACTGCTGTAGATGTTTGGAAATATGAGTCTTACACTCAAGCAAGTAGTTCACTTAACAATGGCACTCTTTTGACCTAATACTGAAAAAAGACATTTCCTACAGGTTGAAGGCCTTTCCCAAGTGTGGATGTGTAAGAGCTAAGTGCAACAGCTAAATGTTAGGTGCTGGGCTGAAGACTTCACATTATATCTATCATAAGGTCCCTACATGTTGTGACATTTTTGGTGGTGAATGAGGCTAGAGCACTGGCTAAAGGAATTCCCACATGTGTCACACTCATAAGGTCTTTCTCCAGTGTGGACTACCTGGTGTTGAATGAGGCCAGACTTTTGACTAAAAGATTTTCCACATTGCCTACATTCATAGGGCCTTGCTCCAGTATGAATTCTCCGATGCTGAATAAGAATGGAGCTTTGACTAAAGGATTTTCCACATTCACCACACTTATAGGGCCTTTCTCCAGTGTGAACTCTCTGGTGTTTAATAAGAGTAGCTTTTTGGCTAAAGGATTTCCCACACTGGCCACACTCATAAGGCTTTGCTCCAGTATGGATTCTTTGATGTTGGTTAAGAATGGCACTTTGACTAAAAGAATTGCCACATTCAGTACACTTGTAAGGTCTTTCTCCAGTGTGAACTCTTTGGTGTTTAATGAGGGTAGCTTTTTGGCTAAAGGATTTCCCACACTGGTCACACTCATAAGGCCTTGCTCCAGTATGAATTTTCTGGTGGTCAATGAGGCTAGAATTTTGTCTAAATAATTTTCCACATTCATTGCATTCATACGGTCTTTCTCCAGTGTGGATTCTCCGATGATCATTCAGGTGGGAGGTTTGGCTAAAGAATTTCCCACATTCACTGCACTCCCAAGGCTTTTCTCCCGTATGGATTCTTTGGTGTTGATCAAGTGAGTACTTTCCACGGAAGGCTTTCCCACATTTGCTGCACTCATAAAGCTTTTTTCCAGTGGAGGATCTTGAGTGGTGAACAACAGTGTGATTGTGGTTAGATTTCTCATATTCTCTTGACTTAAGACTTTTATGATTATGAATGTCCTTTCCACCTTTGATGACTGAGTTAGGCTTCTTACTGCTAGGAAAGGCCAGGGACTTGAGAAGGCTCAACATGGCTGGAAGGTCCTTCTCAACATCCCAACTGGGAAAGGGCTTTCCTGACATGTGCAATAGGTAGCATTTCAAATATGAGACACTGTCAATGACCCTATTTAAGGGTTTCTTTAAAGTACTGTGATGTTTTTTGTTGTGAAGTGTTATACATGTCCCATGCTTGGGTTCCTGTGCCAATGGATCAGCCAGGTGCAAAATGTCTTGCAGACCTGGGACACACTGTTCACAAAGGTAAGTCTTCTTTATGGATGGACCTGTCTTACAAGTCTGAGCCTGTGACACTCCTACAGAACCTATCTGCTCAGAAGGTGCCTCTTCATCCTGTGTTCCATGCCCACAACCTGAAAGCAGAGAATTACTGATAAAACATATGTTGATTATGTTTGAAGGAGAAAGCCCCACAACACATTTTCCAAAGAGTGATTCTATGATTTTATTGAGATTAAGGGACCTGAAGGGAGGTTGAAAAAGAGGTTGTATGGCAATAATGGATTCCTAAAATTCACAGAATTGGGGAGGCCTTACCAGATGAAGGACACAGGAAGAAACAGATCACAGGGTCTTCAACACAGTACTCCACTGATAGCCTTAAACTACTGTGACACCGCGTTCATACAGTTATCCTTCAGCAGCCTCAAAACTCCCAGAACTCATGACACAGTTTTCAGCAGGATCTTGCCTGCTAGTGACAAGCACATGCTATGTACAGGTTGGGTGTATTCAAGCCCAGGAAAATCCAATTGCATTTGACTAGCAAGTGTTCATGTTTATGCAAGGATATGTGCATGCTTCACTGGACAGTGTGAAGCTGTGCTAGAAAACATCACAGAAGGAGTACTGTAGAAGAACAAGTGATAAATGGAAATCAGAAAGGTGGGGGCTGGGGATTTAGCTCAGTGGTTTCACCACCTGCTGTGCTAGCGCAAGGACCCGAGTTTGATCCCCGGTACCAAAAAAACGGTGGAGAGCCATGCACTGGAAGTCAAAGATTAAATGATAATCCAGAAAAGTGTCACATGTGGTAAAGAAAATATAAAAACAAGGTTTGGCTGGGCACATTTGCACCAAAACACTGGGGTACACAGGATGGTTTCCTCTTATGATTTGAAAACTGCCCAGATGTCATGGCTTCCTCTATTTGCCATTCACCAGGCCCAGGCTGCCTCTGAAACCATACTCATTTTCTGAAAAAACTAGGCTTCTCTCCACATTCTAATCAGTGTCACTACATGGCACCAGCGCAAAGCAGGATCCAAAAGAACAAAAAGATAAAACAAGTAAGTGGTCGGTATGGATAAAAGCATCTCAGTATACAACAGATCACAGGAAAGAAAACATTATACTTAAAAAGCAAAAAAGGACAGTGTGATAAAAACATCATGTAAGAATGGACCAAGATAATGTCTGCAATCTTGCCAGAGGCAGCCAAAAGAGGTCAGCTAGGAGAAAGGGGGAACTTGTGATATAAGGTGCCATGATTCCAGATTCTCTGATTCCACAGCCAGGGACAAAGCAAGCAAGACAAGATGCATTTATCTGACTGGAAATACTTGATCCCACATCTGAGTATCTCTACAGGTGTGGGGCGGGTGTGTGGGGAGGCAGTTCAGGAAGTGCACTCCTCATGGTGTGCACACAACTCAGTGCTGCCACACATAGCACACATACTAAAGAAGTGGAGAAGTTAAGACACACCCAACCTCTAGCTCTGGAGAAGATGAAACTGCTTCTGAGGTAAATAAGGACAGAAACTAAAGTGAATGAGTAAACCTTACCTAGTGAGCTTGTAAGTGCAAAGTTCTGCAGCATTACATTGAAATACAGGAGCCTCTGAGCCTCATCAAGAAGTCTCCATTCTTCCCATGTGAAGTAAATGGCCACATCGTCAAAAGTCACACAACCCTGCCATGATGGGGAAAGGTCACTCCAAAATCCATTTCTCTGTGAGGATCCCAGATTCATTTATCTACACATCAATTCTCTGTGACTCTCCTGCCTACACTCCATGAGAGGAATATCATGACCGGCTACCACTGATGCCCCCTCTCGTAATTATCCCATGGTTACTGTATTCTACAATGCAGGTGGGCAGAAAGATACCATCTAAAATAAGGATTTGACGTGTAAGGCTGTATCCCCTCTTGTCAGACAATTCCTCAGGAGTCCTCCATATGGTGCCTCTGACACAAAACCAAATGTGAGATCACCCTCCCACCATTATGCTCTCAATGCCTGAGGCCTAGGTCCTTCTCTGTTCACATTTCTTCTCAATGTGCATATCACTCTTTGGACCACATGCTCAATCTCCCTTCTGCAGGAACCTCCAAATCCCTGCTCCATACTTTACTCATCTTATTGTCCTCCCTACCTACTTAGCATGTGGCATCCAGAGAGTAATTAGCAAATTCAAACAGGATCCAGTATTACCCTAGCCCTCTAATGGTCCTTGATGTCACAAGTAACTGAAGATTCTGCTCTGAAGGGCTTCCTGAATGACTCTGCTTTTTGCTTTAACTTCAGCTACCCAAAACCACCTGTGGATCTGACACTTTTTAGTCTACTTCTGGAGATCTTGATTTCTTCTCATCAGTCACAGCCTTCTCTTCCCTCTTAAATCTCATTCATTCTCAGTGGCTCTCTTCCCCAGATCCAGTGGAACACTTGTGCCCCTAAACTTACCCACCCAGTTGACTCAACCACCTAGGGTCACAACAAAATCCTGGTGAGTTTGCAGCATGGTGACTAACCACTACTCCTGGTGCATTAAGTCAGTAAGGGTTGCTGTAACAAAATACGAAACACTGGTGGCTTATCAACAACAGAAATTTCTTTCTCACAGATTTAGGGACTGTAAATCTGAGGTTAGAGTACTATTATGGACAAGTTCTGATGTGGGCCCTCTTCCAGCTGCAGACTCCTGACTTTCCGTTGCATCCTCACATAGTGGAAATAGCATATGCTAGTTCTCTGGCCTATTCTTACAAGGGCTCACTAATCCCACAAGGGTTCTATCCTCATGACCTCATTACCTCTCAAAGGTCCCACTTCTTAATACTAATGCACCAAGATTACAATTTCAAAATTTTGGGGGGAATAAAAACATTCAGTACTGGCCTCAGTGTCATCTTCTGTCTCTGTGACTGTTTTATGTCCCTTATTCCTCAGAATCCTTGGCCACTGGCCAGTTAATCCTCTATTTCCTACCTTTTCCATGGCCATTTCTTTCCACCTTGTTTGTGATGTTCACCACTTGTTCAAGTACAAGACCTAGACATAGCCTCACTTTCCCTCTCCTGGGCAACTAACACCATTGCCACCATGATGAATATAAATCTTCCCAAGTATAACACATAACTAGACCCTGTGCTCAACACTGACTACCAGTTTTTGGATGTCTCCATCTTAAACCACTTCAGAAATTCCAGACCCATACTGCCAGCCATCACTTGACAATGCCACAAAAAACACATTGAAAATTTTCTTAGAAGGCAGCTAAAAGCAAAATTGGCATCACCAATAAAAATTAACTTCACTATCAACTTTAAAATCCAGGCAATCAATCTTCCATCCCTCTAGATACTAAACCTAAAAGCCTTGGAGTAATGCTTTACTATTATGTTTCTGTCACTTAACCTCAAAATCTTAAATATCCAGCAGCCCTAATTTAAAAATGAATCCAAAATCCTAGAAATTCTTCCACTTCCATAACCACCATACTGACCCAGCCCTATCAACACTCACCTGGACTATTCTATCTTCTTCCCTAGTGTTTCTATTGTCTCCCTCACACCAACATGACTATCCATGCTACAGTAACACGGAAGTTGATGATCCTAGCAACAGATCAACCTGCCTCTTCTCTAACCTTCTCAGTGCTTCTATTACCTCCAAAATAAAGTTTCTGAGAATCAGTCCAAATCTGAATCTTGCCATGCTTTCAGTTCCAAGATAAAAGGAGACTTGGTGTCCCATAAACCAGTTCTGCCTCACCCTCAAGGATTACTTATGTCTGAAACAACCTTCTTTTATATTTCATCCCACTGTCTGCCACCAAGAGGAACTATTAATCCAAATAACCCCCAATTTAGAACCGGGATCCTAGGCTTGGGTTTTTTAAGGGTCCTCGGTGCAAAGAGTGGATAAGTGCCAAGGGATGATATCCACAAAATCCCCAGGGTGGGGTCAGGACCAGTGAGGGCCTGAGACATTCTCCACTCACCTGTTCGAGGTCCATGCGCACTTCTGCAGTCCTAGAAACCTGTAAGAAGAAGGAGCTCATGACCAAAAGATGATCACTGGAAGTCTCTGAAGCTCAAGGTTCCTTGTTCTGACGCGCAGGCCGGAGCAAGGTCACCTGTGGATGCTGATATTACATCTTAACCTCAGTGTTCCCGTCCTCGGGGCTATGACTAGCTGCGGTGCCTTAAACAAGGACTCAACCTTTTCGGCGAGGCGGAATTAACACCTGCCTTTCTAACAGTGAGCTTTTGCTGAAAATTTGAAAAGTTCAACTCAGACCATATAAATCTTATGTGTGCAACCATGGTTCCCGGTGCCATGAACACATCACCTTGTCACTGTAGATACGAATGTCACCGCTCGACCGCCCTCTGAGAATTTCCATACACCACGGCCTCTGCCGGTCTCACTTGCTACACCTCATCTCGCTAGGAATGGAGATCCAGCTACAAACTCCTACTGCACTGGACACAGCCATCTGCCTAGAGTCCTAAGCAGATCCGCTCTGCGGGACTTTAGGACTGGAGTGAAGTGAAAGCGGGTGGGCGCTCACCTGAGCCGCGCCCCTAGCCGTGACCGCAGCCCTCGGACTCGGTGGACCGCCTGTGCGGAGACAAATGGGCCGGGGCCACTCAGACCAGCCGCTGGCAGGGATTCGGGGAGGCAACACCTCCCAAGCGCCTTCCACTCCGGTCACCTCCCGCCAGACAAAGAGCTCTCGCCGTTCGGATGGCGGGGATGGACACAGACACCAGGAAAACGAGCACCACAGATACTGCCCGGAAGTCGCCCCGGCCGTCCTCCACCGGAACACGGAAGCGCCCCTACTTGGGAGGCTCATTGGCTCGGCGTCATTCCCGTGACATTCTGGGTAGCGTAGTTCCCACCGGCCGTGCAACGGCTGGTCGCCGAGGAGCCCCTTCACCAGAAACGCTGCTGTCGCCCGGAAGTGACGTCAAGCCTTCCGAGGGCGGGTTCCAGTCAGGTGTCTCCTAGGGTAGATTCTGTAGCTCTCGTTTGTGAGTGCCACTTGAGCTGTGGCTTTGAACTGCTCTGTTGTTTTCCTACCCGGCCCAGGACGGTGGCTCTTGAGGTCTCTAGGGAAGACCCGAGGGCGCTGCGTGACGGGATCAGGGGCGGGACAGGGGCAGCGTCGAGCCAGGTGCCCTGTGGCCTGAGCTAGTAGTGTTGGGTATTGTGCCACGCCAGCCAGGAAATCACCAAACGCCGGGACAAAGACAGAGTTACAACTAAAAGGAGTTTATTTACGCTCGTGGACTCCACTCTCTAGGAGAAGTGAAGCCCCGAAGCAGGGGACAGTACAGGTTTATAGGAAACTCAAAGAAGTTCAGGGAGAGGCCACTGTGTCCTTCAGCCAGCTGTGAAATATTTTTTCATCCCACCTATCTTGCCAAGATAGGGCCTTCTGTAGCTACAGGGTTCGGTGGTTACAGGGAGGCGCTGGGCACCATCTGTTCCCGGGGAGCGATAAAGCATGTTTACAGAAGCAGAGCAAGCGGCTATTTTGGGAATTCCTGCACTCTATAAGGGGAGGGGTGTGAGGGGAGTTCATTTCTTAGGTTCACTTTGGTCTCACGTTGGGGACTTGCCCTCTGGGGCCATGGGTGGATTCAGGCCACAGGGACTCACCTGGAGGACGCTGGGTGTCTTGATTTCCACGCTCCTCTAACATCTGTTCCCCCAGCCCTGGTACCTGACTTGTCCTCCCTCTCCTACTGTTTTCTTTCTTTTTTTTTTTCCAGTTAAACATTTAAAATTTATTAAACTTTTTGGTTAAAATAAATATATACAATCTTGTTTTACTAGAACTGTTTTTCCTTACGGACCGGGGTTAATTAATGCTAAACAACTCTGTTCCACATCTCAGACATAAATTGTGTCACCAAGATACAGTATAATTTATTTATTTATTTATGTTGTTGTTGTTATGGGGGATTGAACTCGGGTCCTTTGTGCTTGTGCAGTAGGCGGCAAAACCACTGAGCTAAATCCCCAGCCCAGTATAATTATTTTTAAATAAAATAAAGTTACTTTAGGTTGTCAAATTTCTAACTTAATGTGAACTAAAGTGGCATTCTGCTAACATTAATTCTGGGTAAGGCTGTCTTATCCTTTCATATCATTAGTAATCAAAATACACCTTAACTTCAGCAATGGCATGTGAGCCCCGGCTCTACATCCCCCTGGAGGACACTGATCAAGCTCATGGGTTAAATCCCATGGAAACAAGCTCCAGTCACGGAGTGCTGGTATACCTCTTTGTGTTGGGAAGTCTTGATTTTTTGATATTATAGATATTTTGAAATAAACCAAGGTACTGGAGGCATCACATAATTAAAACTTTAATTCTCCTGCCTTGAAATGCGATATGAAATTTCGCATGCACATAATTTTAGCAATATTTAAAAACTACATTTCCTTCCCAAAGTACTTTTTAAAAAAGATTTTAAAAGAAAGCATATAAGTTTACAATTGTAGTGAATTTGAGGCCTACATTAAGCCAAGTATTAATTTTATAGCAGCAATTTCATTACTCTTGTAATTTTTTTTCTCAGAGGTGGACTCAGTTATGGCTTTTCCCAGACCTTACCTGGTGTAACAGATGGACTGTTTCTATAGAAACAAAAAAAAAAAGTTATGGCAGCTTGGAGATAGTTATATTTAGAATTTGAAGTACTACACACATTTCACCCTTCTGCCAAAGGACAAAAGTTTCTCAAATTATTCCAAAGAAGTTTGCATAATTTTATTATATGCAATTGAGACAAATAAAAAGATGATACTTATGTTTAGATTTAAGAACACTTTTCACTGTTGTTTATTGAGTGGTTATACCAGAAGTTGTGATGGTCGATGAAATTAGTGAGTAAACCTGCCTGGCTCTCCTTGGGTACCAAGGGTAGGTATGTCCACTTGGCTCAGAAAGGCCAGCAAGGAACATGGACAATGGCCATACCATGTCCAGGTGAAGGCCCTAGGATGGCAGGGAAAGATAGAGCTGGAGACAGAAACATATTTGACAACACCTTTTCTCTTAGAGGTTAGTTTTTTGGTCTATAAACTGGACAGAAAGGCTCAGACTTAAATAAATACATTTCTTTTGAGTAATGGCTTTTATTGAGCAGTGTCTACCAGTTCTGCTTCAAGTGGGTTTTCCCCTTGTAGCAGCAAGCATCTCTCCTTGGGCTAAAGGCAGAGCAATGCCAGGATTCCAGCCAAGGTCACTTCTTTTCTCTGTTGTGAAGGGAGGTAGGAAGTGCATCTCTGTTCTTAATGGAGAGGACAGTGCCTTTTCTTTGACAGTAAAACAACCAGCTTAACTATGCGAGACAAGACTTGGTCCTCCAGTTAGCTTCTTTGGTTGATTTTGTCCTGGAATATATACAAATCCTAGCAAAACAATTTCCTGGGAAGGTTATCAGGAGTGGACCTCACTGTAGCTCTTTTCTCAAAACAAAATCTCAAAACTTTACAATTTTACACACTTGAGCCTGTAATAGTGGGGTCTGGCCAATTCCTGATACTTCCTCCCAGCATATTTCCTATTGTCTTAGGGAAAAGTAATTTACTTCTTTTCTATGGCACTAATCTCTTCAGATACCACATTCTCTTTGTATAAACTTTAAGTTTGCTTCCTTTCTGGCCAAACTAAAATTTTCACATCTGTCTGCTCTATTTTTGCTTTCAATTTTTACTGCAAATCTGGCTAAAAGTGATGCAGTACTCATGCCACAGCTTGAGTGTTGGGCTGCACTGATATTTGCTACACCAAAGTAATATTTCTGCCACTCTAAATTTAGCTGCAGTCTTAGGACATGGACAAAATGTAGACAATTCTTTGCCAACATGTTAACACAAATAGTCTCTAGTCTAATTTTCTATAGATTCATCATTCTCATCCAAAACTTTATATTCTAGTCTTATAAAACCCCACCAGAGGGCCGGGGATTTAGCTTAGTGGTGCCACCACCTGCCTCACAACCACAAGGTCCTTTGATCCCCAGTACTCCCCCCCCGCAAAAAAAAGCCTACCAGAATTGCTGTTCGAGCTCTCCTTACATCATTCTAGGATTACTCTAGTCCAGTTCTCCAAACCTTTTAAAACTCCTGCAAAATAGTTCCAAAACCTTCTGAGCCTCATAGTACATTCACAAAAATGCCCTAGTCTCAGTACCAATTTTCTACATTAGTCATCTTTCCAAGGCTGGGACAAAATACCTAACATCACAAATTAATGAAAGGTTTGTTTTGGCTCAAAGTTTCAGAGGCTTCAGTCTATGGTTGGCTGGCTCCAGAGCACAAACATCACGGTGGAAAGGCATGGTGGAGGAAAGCTGCTCACATCATGGCAGCTAGGAAGCAGAGAGCCAGCAAGAAAGTAGCCAGGGGTCAGACATAGTTCCCAAAGTCATGCCCACAGGACTCACACAGACATAAGAACATGTTCTTTACTAATCTCCTAGGCATCTCTTCAGCCAATCAAGTTGACAATTAAGATTAACCATCGCAGAAAGAATTGTTAAGCTTCCTGTAGAAAATAGTTAAATGACCACAACCAAATTTAAAGTGTTTTGCAAGTAGGCAAAACTGACAAACTTGGGGTCTCTGCAAATGAACACAAAAGTTCTGAATGCTGGAAAATACGAAAACAAAAGAGGTGTCTACCAGCTGGAATGATAGTTATCCAAAGGGACAAAAGTGAAGAGTAATATGGCAATAAAGTGCTCACAGGATAAAGATGGTGTACATTCTCCTGGCCTCATTAGAAAGTGTGACAGTGTGATTTCTATGAAAACAATGTAAAATAATAAATTCTATCAATATGTTAGGTGAGACTTCCTCACGAGAACCATTTCTTTTTCAAGAAATACACTCATGTTTCAGTATTGAATGATTCTGCATGCAGTTGTTTTCAAACTGAAAAGAAACTTGATCATATTACTAAACAGCATCTACTGAGTCATTATCCTTCTCGCATGGTTATTTCAATAACACATTGGGATGTTTAATTTAGGTTGTATTAGTTTTCCCTTACTATAATGAATATACCTGAGATAATCATATTGAAAAAACCACTTAGGCTCACACTTTCAGAGTAGGCAGTCCATGACTGGTTGGCCCTGCTGCTTTGGACCTTTGGTAAGGCATTATATTACAGCAGGGAGTGTGTGGTACTCATCTCATGGAAGCAATAAAAGTCAAGGTCCAGATATAACCTTCAATAAGATAATGGCTTAACTTCCTGAGGACTTACCAACACTGTCCATTAAATATTCTCCTAGTAGTACTATGAGCTGGGGACAAAGCCTTTTAACACACAGGCTTTTGGAAAAGAGGAGATGCCATTTTTAAGTCAAGGTGTCTATGACCAAGGCTTGTGATGATCTCCCCCAATGTGTCCTCCTGTAGTTGCATCAAACATCCTATAGGAACTTCGCATTGTGCCGAGGTGTGTACCTGGTCCCATGTTCTAACATGCATCATTTCATTACTGCATCTGCAGGATGATGAGGTTGTTCTCTCCAAACCAGCATGTGCCTACATTGTAATGCTTACTGCATGCATACCATGTGATTGTGTTATTTCATGGAAACAAACAAAAACACAGCCAGTCACCAAATTTGTGGGAGCACTTTTACAAGTCACAGTCCACTTCTTTTGCTGCAGGGTCCTCCACTTCCTATTTGATTAATCACACTATTTCTGTACCAGTTATAGCTCATCCTTGGCTCTCATATGCTTGAGTGAAACCCTCTATGGAATTCCTATAAACAAAAAGGCACATGTCTTCCTTGTAGAATGGGGAAAGCTTCCTCTCAACAGTATGGGAAATTATGTGGCAGTTGGTGAGAATTGGACAAATTGATATTCTTAGAACCAC